TGGAATATTAAGAAATATTCCTGTAACTATCCCACTTCTGAACTAAAAGAGTTCAGAAGTATGGGAGCGGAATAAAAATCGATTTAAATAACACCTTCCTTTTAATTATCAGTTACGACACTTTCACAAATTATAACCATTTAATGTCCTGATACAAATTATAAATTTTAAGGTAACACTACAACAATAATTATTTTAAACACAATAATCCACTCTCGACGACGATCGAACAAAGAATGCCCGACTGCTCTCACAATCCGCTTTTATAAAGCAAGTCCCTCGCCCAACTCACCCACGCGGTCACGCCACACGGTGGCGTGACAGTGTGTCATTTCAAATCCGTATTCATGACCGGAAATTTATTAATATTTAATATTTCTGGCAAATGACAAGAGATGGCGTTACTGTGAGATAGATTTATAAGTAAATATGCTAACACGTTTAAGCCAATAAGCGTTTAAACTAAAAAGCTTTTTTTCAAGCGCGCTTATTTTAAAAAGTACAACGTTTAAACGCTTTTAAGGAATAAGCCGTTTTTTCCATCTCGATTCGCCCATAAATATCGTCCAAATCTTACAAAATTCGTCCAGCTTGGTAGTCTTCGAAACATCGCTGGAAAACTTTAAAAATCACTTCCCGCGTGCCACTCGGTTTTACTTTACTCATTTTTATACCTTTCTGCGTAGTTTCGTCTTAATTCAAAAAATACAAAAGAAAAACTGTTTCACAACTGAAACTCGATGACAGCTGATGTACATAAGCTTGGTGTTGCCAGACACATGAATAATGTTAGTTCCTCAAACATTCATATCACGACTTTATAGACAAACTTGTATGTACGAATAAGTTTGTTTTCTTTTTTTCTCAAGAGATAAAAAAAATACTGTCAACTTCAATTACATACACTTATACCTACGTTTACTCTCATTATTAAAAACGGAGCGCTTTAAGTTGGTCTGTCATCAGATCCGTGGGGGCCTTTTGGAGAATATTTTATTTCATGTTTAATCGGAACATAATCTACTTTAGAATCCAATAAAAACATTACAACTCTCTCAAAAAATACGTGTTTATATTTTAATATTAAAGAGTACACTCTTACTAAGACACCCTATCTAATAATTAAAACATTTCACAAATATAATGGATAGTTTTAATTATTTCCAAAAACATCGATGTTTTAGACATATCGATGTTTTTCTATCCATATTCATCGTACATCGACACTTTTGATTCGATGTTAACATCGATTTTTTTCTAATATCGATCATTCCAAAGCCAACGCTGTATGGGCATTGTTCCCTTGGCCTTTCTTAAAACGGAGGAACCTGAAAAAAAAATTGATGCCGAATGAATTCTGTTTTAAACCGTCTGCGTAACTGAAGAATTAGTGGAATCTTTTTTATTATTTTAAAGCATGTAACTGCTTGATGTTTAAATCTAAAGAAAATATAACTAGAAAAAATTCCACGCGGACCAGGCAGCAGACGGGACTCGAACCCGCACCCTTCGCAATCCGGGCGAATGCACTGACCAATTATGCTACCGCGGCCTACTGCCTGGTCCGCGTGGAATTTTTTCTAGTTATATTTTCTTTAGATTTAAACATCAAGCAGTTACATGCTTTAAAATAATAAAAAATATAACTATAACCACCGGGAAGTCCGTGGCAACCAAAGCAGCCGCTCTCAACAGTCCAAGCGGCGCGAAGCGAAGCGAAAAATGTCGGCCATTCCGGACTTTCAGTTAGAAATGCCATTTTCTCGCTAAATACTGAAGCTAGGACCAAACAAAAAATACTACCGTAAAGCTGATCAAATAAAGAATCTACTACAGAACACTTGCATCTCTGTAACTCGAAAAACGATTAAATAGAGCGGGTTGAACCCAACAAAAAGTCAATTTTTAATAAACTTTTAAAATTAAACGCCTATTTCCTAATGTTAGGGTGCGGCCAGAGTGCACTCAGATTCAGAGTCAGATTCAGATTCTGAAAACAAGCGCGAGAAATAAACAGTGTAGTCTAAGCAGGTTGCCTGCTTTTTCTCGCGCTTTGTTTTCTGAGTCTGAATCTGAATCTAAATCAGGAGTGCAATCTGGCCGTACCCTTCGACTACACTGTTTATTTCTCGCGCTTGTTTTCGAAATCTGAATCTGAATCTGAGTGCACTCTGGCCGTACCCTTAGTTACGAAAATGTCAAAATTAGTTGTTCTCAAAATGCAGGAAATTTAACTACCTTTCTAATGGTATCAATAACTTTTTTTAATTCAGTCTGTATCCTTTTCAGTAAAGCAAAATCTAACATCCTGTCGACTTCTCATCCACCACGGCTTCGGCCATTTCGGACGACGGAAATATTCACAAGATGGCCGCCGTTCCTAAGGCTCAATACGGACTTTGCGTAGTAGCCGAGTAGGTTACTTTTAAATAAAAACAATTCAATATTTTATATTTTTTTTATTTTCAATAAATATACCTACTATATATATGTATATTATTTATGTATGATATATACATAAATAATATAGATATATATAGTGTATGATATATATATCTAATATGTAAAATTCTCGTGTCACGGTGTGCGTAATTGAGTTCAATTACGCACACCGTAGGAGTAGTTACTCCGATAAGGCTCGACCGATTTTCGTGAAATTTTATTTGCATATTCAGTAGGTCTGAGATACGAACAACATCTATTTTTCATCCCCCTATATATATATATAATATATATTTTATCTTCATGCAGATGATCAGGATGTTGGTTGCTTTCTCCTTATTGGGCCGGCCTGTCGCAACTGTCATTAGGTGCGAAATCTGAAAGACAGTTATATATTTATTAAAATTAGAAAAGCAAGAAAAAAACGCGTCCACAACAAAAAAAATATGAACAAACAAACCACCTCTTTAAAGCACATGAGTAAAAGTAGACCACAAAACATAGCTAAGAGTAAAAAAAGCTTGTTTTTAAGTTTTTTTAGTTTAAAGATGCACATAATCAAGAACTTTAAAACCCCACATTTATAGCTAGTTTTTTTTTGTTGATACCCTTTAGGAAAGCGTAAAAAACTTAGCAGTATAAAAAAGCGGTATTGAATTAAGTTGACGTCACTTTATTTATCGAGTTATTCTCAGCAAGCCTTTTCATTTGATACCCATATTGTAGCAAAACATAAAAAAACTTTGTCCGCCATATTGGATTTAAAGTGACGTCACTTTATTTATCGAGTTATTCTCAGCAAGCCCTTTCATTTGATACCCATATTGTAGCAAAACATAAAAAACTTTGTCCGCCATATTGGATTAAAAGTGACGTCACTTTATTTATCGAGTTATTCTCAGCAAGCCCTTTCATTTGATACCCATATTGTAGCAAAACATAAAAAACTTTGTCCGCCATATTGGATTTAAAGTGACGTCACTTTATTTTTTGAGTTATTCTCATCATGCCCTTTCATTTGATACCCATATTGTAGGAGTGCATCGAAAATAGCTAGTCCGCCATCTTGTATGTTCCGCCATATAGGATTTTGAATGACGTCACACAGCTCACCATGCATTATAATCCAAACTAAACGTGTGTACAAAATTTCAGCTCAATCGAATGAAAACAACTGCTTCAAAATTGAGTTGCAAGATTCCAACCGAACAAACGTACATACATAGCAATTAAAAAAAAAGATTTCATTAATATTTTACAAAAAACACTTGGTAATAATTTTCGTTCGCAATCTAAAAATTTACAAACGAACAAACAAACTACCACGTAATTATAAGCACACTCCAGATAAAAAAAGCAATTTAAAATTGTTATCTGTAACGACCCTTATTTACTAACAGTACATAGTAGCTGTTACGTCATCGGCGACTCATCGGTAAACAATGAACAATACCCGTCACAAAATACATGAATCTAGTGCTAACTTACATGTTTACTTGATTTTAACTATTGAAATAAGTTTTTTAATTAATTACACGACGTAATTTATCAATAATCAATAACAATTTAGTATTTAACTATTAATTATACGCCATTGAAATCTGCCGAATGTTTATTTTTTTCTATCAACAAATCTTCAGGTTATTTTTATAATTTTCAGATCATTTTGCTCGTGATAATCTTTTGAAAATATGAAAGCCTGTATTATCACAAATATCTGGATATATAATATAACAAAGATAAAAAGGTACTTACGGCATATTTCAACACTAAAAGCAGCACGTTAACACTTTACTTGATCACAATTTACGAAAGAAAATATTGTGTCAGTTTTATTTTTTTTAATTTTTTCCAAAGCAGACTAGGGTGTTCCGGTGATACCAGTACGTTACAAATATCATAAAGATACTGTGCGTAGCTGGCTTGAGGTCCATAAATACAAGTATTCGTTATAGTCTGTAGAAAAAGAGCAGGCCGCGCGGAAATTCGAACGTGGCCACCAAAGAGGCCACGGACTGTTGAGGGGTGTGTGCTCATGGCCACTTTGGAGGCCACGGACTGTCCAGTGGCGCTGTCTTGTAGCTTAAGAATGGCTAGAAGAATTTCGACGCGGTCTGTGAGGGCCGCGGTAGCATAATTGGTCAGTGCATTCGCCCGGATTGCGAAGGGTGCGGGTTCGAGTCCCGTCTGCTGCCTGGTCCGCGTGGAATTTTTTCTAGTTATATTTTCTTTAGATTTAAATTAGTGGAATCGTTAAAATATACACTATTCCGGTCAAGTGGACGTGAGAATTTTATTGTAGTGTTGACTACCTCACAGAAGCTTATCGAAAAAGCCATCGATACATTTCGTGCCAAACACTCCAAGAAACATTAGAATGCGTCACATCGACATTCTAATGTAAAAACAAAAAGAAGAAATTAATAATTTAATTAAATACCAGGCTGTATGGGCATTGTTCCCTTTGCCTTCCCTAAAACGGGAGAAATTCAACAAAAAAAAAGAGAATTCTGTTTTATCCTTAGTCCCAAACAAAAGTTGACTGAAAATAATCAATTATGTCTTGTTTACAAGCATGCAGAGTATGCTTGGCACATCATAGCCGTATGTATTCCATATTGAATGGGCAACTTCAACAGATTTATGAAAATATCACTCAAATTCCGGTAAGATCTCTCATCTCTGATTGCCACAGTAGTCGTTTCCATAATTCGTTTAATGAATTATTGGTACTAAATTTCATTAGTTGTGGTGGAATTTCCGGGTAGTTTTGATGTGGGGGGAGGAGGGGGTTTCCCCGACTCCCCCCTACTAAAGATTTTAGACGGAAATGCATGTTTTTTTTAACTAACCCAACATAAAAATTCATATTTTTTTAGGATGCAAGGACTAGGGAAGTAAGAACCAGTAGTTCTGCCTTATCTCCGGCTCTGCGGGAATAGCAGCCCCACCGCCTTTGCGTGCCAAAGTCACAAGCATCACTCTCGCACGATGCTTGCGGCTTTGTCACAGCAGGCTGGGGGCTGCACTCCCTATGCGCCTCCGGGCTCTAAAAAACTCTTGTGGTAGGGCAGACCAAGACCACGGCGTGTCGGGGTTGACCAAGTCGGTTCTGAATTAAAGGTTGTTGTAAAGCCACATTTACCTTTTTTTCCTCAAAATATATTTACAAGTATATTTTTTACCGATGAACAGACTGACTGACATTTCTCAAAACAAACTAGACATGTGTAAGTAATGCGCGTGATATTACATTTATGATATTACGCGAAGTTGTAATGTCATATCACATATCACCCGACAGAATGAAACATTACACCATCACTTAGAACATCACGCAGTACACTGAATGAAACAAATAACGATCTTATTCCTTTCCTCAAGGGTCTTTTTTAGGTTTGTTCAATAATGATGGCGAAATGTAATGTTATCAAAAATTACGCAGCACTAGCGACACCATCCTACCTTAAGTGTCAAACATCACGCAACACGCTTAAATAAATTTCGACTTTATGTTCTTACAATTAAAGGTTTTTTTTTAGTTTGTTCTATCGTAGTGTAATGTAAACATTACGCAGGGCTAGCGACGCACAGCGGCCTAGCCGGGTAACTTTCAATATGTTCGAATAATATAAATTACTTTTTTAAGAAACACTCCTCAAATTATTCGCATGTATATTAAATTACAAAACTATTATTTGAAGTATTTTTTTTTTGTTAATATTGACGCATTAAATACCTACTAATGAAATAAATCTATGTTGAATACAGTATTTGATTAACCATCACTCGAAACATTACCCGTGATTTTTATTACTAAGTCACATATTAATAAAAGACACGGGTAATGTTTCAAGTGATAGTGATATTACAGAGTGATATTACTCAGCGAGTATTGTAATGTAATATTACATCACGCCATAGAGCACTGTTTTGCGCATGTCTAAAACAAACACAAAACGGCGGGACATCTGTCATTTTGACAATAGTACCAACATAATAAACATATTTTTTACCACAGACAACGAGAAACATTTATTTATTTATTTTATTCTTCTTCACCAAAATACAGTAAATGGCGGACTTAATGCCATAGGCATTCTCTACCAGTCAACCAGTAAGCGTGTGGGAGACGAATGTTATGGCGATAGAGTGCGAGCTACTAAAGTTATAAAAACATATAATATTATCCTACTTAACTATACTATAATAAACAATAAATAAATATTATATAATAATCAAATATCATAAATACACATATAAATAAATAGATATATATATATATCTTTATATATATAATTCTTCTGTGAGTGTGTATGTCACTGAACTTCTCTTAAACGACTGGACCGATTTTGATGAAATTTTTTGTGTGTGTTCAAGGGGATCTGAGAATGGTTTAGATTCACAATTTTGTCCGCTGGACAACCCCTATTTTTTTTGGGCGGTACGAAGTTCGCTGGGTCAGCTAGTATATATATATATATAATAAACATACACATATAATTAAACAATGTTATTTCTTCATGAAAAAATGGCAGCACTGATCAAAATGGCTGTCAAAATTGACTTTAACCTAAAAATATATTAATTTTCTCGAGTTCTATTCGTTTCTGTATAAAAAGATTTCATGTACGTGTTCCTAATAATTAATACTTTCCGTGTCTAAAATCTCAGCTCGCAACTCACCACAGCTAATGGAAAGCTGAGCCACCGACTTGGTCAACTCCGACAAGCCGTGGTCTTGGTCTGCCCTACCCCTAGAGTGTTTTTAGAGCCTGGAGGCGCGGAGGGAGAGCAGCCCCCGCCTGCTGTGACAAAGCCGCAAGCATCGTGCGATCCGTAGCGCCTGAGGCAACAAGCCGAAGGTGTGAAGGAGAGTGATGCTTGTGACTTTTTCACGCAAAGGCGGAGGGGCTGCTATTCCCGCAGCGCCGGAGATAAGGCAGAAGTACTGATTCTTACTTCCCTAGTCCATATATCCTAAAAAATTTATGAATTTTTAGGTTAGGTTAATTTAAAAAAAAAAAGCCTAAAATCTTTATTGGGGGGGGGGGGACTTGGGGAGCCCCGCCCCTCCCCCCCACATCAAAACTACCCCGAAATTCAACCACAGCTAATGGAATTAAGTAGCGCAAGTAGTATTAGTTAAGTCCACGGACCTGATTTAGTCATTCAAAATAACGATTCGGTTATCTTAGGGCATAAAATATTTTTTTTTACGAAACTGTGTTATGTAAATATTTAACGGAATTACCTATATTAAGTTAAAATATTACAAAACTATATTATTTTATGTTCAACCTGAAAAGCCCTAAAAGGTAAGTATGCTCTACCTCATTCAGCTTGGGTGTTTCAATGCAGACAGATGTCTATAATTTTCATTATTTAAAAATCAATCATCTGTATAAAGACACTAAATGGGCATTTAAAAGCAGTTCGGTGGATTAAGAAATATAGTAACGGCTTTTAAGAACTCAATGATATTACACAATTACTTTAGTCCTTATAAAATAGTAAAAATATTGTCTACTATGAAAGGTATCATTATTGTGATAGTGTGATGTGTTTTTAGCTTGTAATAGGTGACATATGGCCGACATGCATATGCTACATTTGCTACCATATGATGAGAAAATTCAAAAAGTTTATAGATAAATCACATAAGGCGAACAAGCTCCTGTTGCAACTCATCAGTTCCGAGTCTGAGGTAAGGACTTATTAAAAACATATAAATATTTCAGTAGAAAGTTCTGTTTTAAAGGCAGCTGTTTGTGGCTAAAATTATACACCAACAGCCTTATTACAAAACACAGACTAAAGTTAAAACTGCTGCTGTCTCTTTTGTTTGCTATAACTTAAGTCTGCGTTTTGGAAAAAAGTAAATTTGCAGAGAATTATTTCATAATTGTTAATTGCTTGCACTTTTTTTGTGTCTTCAAATATTGTTTAGTACTCATTAAAAAAAAAGCTGTGAATACATTAACACAGTTTTTGTACAGTTTTGAACAAACATGGAATACAGTAATTTTTGATTTAACCTTTAAGCTCTGAAGTGGCGCACTTTACTGCATTATTGGTCTCCTGCTCTACTAAAATTCTACCCCACTGCCTTCCAAATGACCCTCCCAGACCAGAGTAACCTAGTGAGATGGGCAAAACCTCTGAAAAATCGTGCTATACTTGAGGTGAGGCAATAGGTACTGCTAGGCACATATTGGTAGGTTGCAAAGTGCTCCTGGATAGGGGTCAATACTCAAGTTGGTGGCCATGATAGAGTACTTGAAGTCATACGTGAAGAACCAAGTCTTGCAGTGGCTAGAGCCCAAAAAGGATTAATCACAAATAAAAAACAAATTAATTTTATACAAGAAGTCTCAACTGATATCTTTTTAAGCTATTGTATAGCTTTTATCGCGGGCTTTGAGCTCGCCGACCGAATCAAGAAATTCCATTGTGGTGATGGGGTGTGGGTGACTCACGGGAGAAATCACGACGAGCGTTCAATGTGAAATCAACATTTAATCAACTTAACCTACATCTTATATACTATTTACAACGTGCTTAGGCTTAGATACCTAATCGTATCAGGGAAGTGTTATCAACACGTAACTAGAGGACGTGATTTACACTTCACCACACCATAACAAAAAAAAACCTTACGAGAGTGCATATACCAATAGAACACAATTTTCGCCATTCCAGTATCAATCTAAAGGGCGCAGTGTGTTAAATCTTTGCCACACATTCCGCACTCTTTTTTTTTATTTCATTTTTTCCTTTTTTATATATTTGTTTTAGATCCCTGCACCTGTTCTTATTTTTATTTGTCTCCCTTTTAATTTTATAATTATAATTTAAATTTTGAACTGCAAGAAGCGCACACGCAGGGGTGACAACACGCATACGCGTGTAAAGGGTATCAGCGAATCTGCCGAGCCCGAAAAACCGGTTGCTTCACGGGAACCTGTCGACCTGGCCAGAGGCTCTCCAAAAGAATATGAGATACAGTGTAATGTCAAGGAGAACGCCGCCGGAAATAATCACACCAGTGATATAAAAAGTATGCTGGCCGACTGCATGAAAGAGATGAGGGAAATCCGCTAGGAGATGGCGGCCTTCCGCAGTTCTTTTACCGCTCGACTTGACTCCTTCGAGTAGAGAATTGCGGTGTTGGAGCAGAGTCAAGTGGATCCTGATGCAAATGGTAGGATGGACTTGGAGCGCACCATATTCGAGCAGCGCGCCGAAGTTAACGACCGCAATCAGGAGGTGTTGATGTCCGACCTGGAGATCGGCGGGTTGCCCGAAGAGAGGGGCGTCAGCGTGGAGCAGAGCATCACCATGCTGGCCTTGCGGCTGGGAGTGCCAGGCGCGACTTGTGGGCGCGCCGCCCGCCGAGGCGCGGGGCCGGCAGTGCCGTGTGGTCGTGCGCCTGGCGTGCCGCCAGCTGCGCGACGACCTCTTGATGGCCGCGCGTGTGCGCCGCAGGGTCACTGTTGCGGAGGATCACGGATTCGGAAGACGGCGCCCCGGACACCGCTGATGAGGGCGGCCCGCCGGCCACCGCCGTGGGGGGCGGCGCTCGGGCCTAGATCAACGAGCGCCTCACCGTGCCAACCGCCGGCTTATATAACTCCAAGCAGGCCCTGCTACAATATCAGCGCTGGCGCGACACAATGTCGTATCAAACTCTGAGGCAGGGTCCTGGTTAGCCGTTACTGTATGAGTTCCTTTTAACATGTATTTTTTAAGGGTTTATAATATTGTTTTTCTTTCTTTCTTTTTCTTTCTTTTAATACCCCCTACTCCGACCGGCACAGTGGGGCGGCGTTGAAAGCCGTGTATCGACGTCATTTCAGTTCGGCAGACTTCGGCACGGTGTTTGTGTGCGTGCGAGTAGACCTATGCGTGTAGACTAGCTGCTAACTGCTCATAAATGATTCTATCTCATATAGACACAATGCTAGGTGAGACAGCGTGCTTTTTGACCGCGTTCACGAGTGAGTTCGAGCCCGCGACTAGTTGAACCTTAACGTGCGTGTATATGGTACGACTGTACGAAGCTCGCATGTAAGATTATAAAAATATTTTAAACAATAAAATTCTCATTTATTCAATAAAAGAAAAAAAAATGTTTTCTTATCGGTCACCACGCTCAAGAACTACTGTGTGTTTGTGTGTTACTTGAATTAATATCAAAGAAAAAAGAAATACTGCATAAATAAAATAATTAAATAATTATAATTGCATAAGTTGATAAAAAATGCTATGCAATAGCTTTACCACGGCAGTCCCCTAGTGCCACACGTATTTTTTTTATATAGCCATGTAGGCAAATGACTACCCCACCTGATGTTAAGTGGTGATAAAGTCTAAACGCAAAGATAGCCGGTCCAGCAGTTATAAGCTGCCACACTAACCACCGTCACCTTGCCGGCCTGCAAAAATGCTTCTTCCCGCCCTACTTAAATGACGCCCTTCTTAAATAGAAAGAGAGAACTCGAGTACAGTCCACGCGGATGAAGTTGCATTTGCAATTGAACAGTATAATTTTTCTATGTGTGCTGGTTCTGATGTCGCAAGCTAAACCTAGGCATCACATAGCTTGATAAATAATAAATTGCACATGTTTGCTGTACGAGTTACCGATCGTACATAGGTTTTTGTTTATGTGTAAGTACATAATTTTAAGGTCGTGCCGCCGCGTTTCGTAAGCGTGTGCAATTTGTACAATAATGTTTAATTACCTATATGAAATAAATCAGTGACAATTTAGCACTCTAACGGGACGGTTTTATTTATCATCACCCAATCGTTCTAACTTATCAGTATCAATTATCATTTTCTATTAAATGTAAGAAGGCTTACGCATTACCCCTTACATTTATTTTGGTCCTTCGAGAAATTTGTGAATCCTGTCTTTTTAATTTTCCGCGCGGGTTAGTGTAAGGCAGGATATTGTGTGTGGACTATATCAGGTTACTTACACTCGATTTCCAGTGTGACTATCCATTAGTAAAAAAAAAACAAAAAAAAGAAGTGAACGCGGTGTATTCATAGTTTGAAGTGAGGCGTGCTGTGTGATAATTTATCATCAATTAGTGGGCCAGGAGGCTTACTATTCGTTTTATCATCGCTTGGCGGTCCAGGAGGCTTGCTGTTCCTGTATCATCGCTTGGCGGGCCAGGGGGCTTGCCATCCCAGCATCAACTTTAGGCGGGCCAGGAGGCTTGCTTATACCAACTGCGGGCCAGAGGGCTTGCTTTATCATCATCGATTGGTAGGCCAGGAGGCTTACTGTTCCTGTATCATCAGTCAACGGCTCAGAGAGCCGCTGTTGCACATCATACACAAGTGATCCGGAAGGCGGGCTCGTGATCAGGCTAGTCGTGTCGCATCGCTGTTACAGCTTCTGATCAAGTAAGATTGTGCCTTTTCTGTTTTAATATTATTATTTTATCACCATGGAAGGTTTATTAGCACGTCAGAAAACAATTAATGACCTTATCATAGCTATCAAGACCAACTTCGGGAAGGATTCCGCAAGTAGAAAAACACCGGAATACCTACAACGGAGAATTAATGCGCTTGATGATCATTGGAAGGAATTTGAGCAGAACAATCAGCAGTTAATGGTTTTCGAAGACAAAAACAATGCGTACTATACGGAAAATTATTTCGAACGAACTAAGGAGATATATCATGCCCTTCGGCACACACTGCTCAACTATCAAAAGCACGATAAAGCTACGACTACCCCACTTGAAGAAATTATAATATTATTATCAAAACAACGCACAAACTTTAGAGCCCTCAGTCGCTTAATAAATAGTATCAATTTGGAAGAAATATCTGAAAAATGGGAGCTTGAAGATGAGCTCCGGAATATACAGAGCCGCTGGAATATAATTGACAGTTTGCATTTGGAGATAGATGACATTCTACGAGGTGATGACGTTATATACGAATCGGAGTTTACCACTTTTGAAAAGGAGTTTAAGAATATGAAACGGGCACTCAACCGTAAGTTATCATCTACAGCTCATACACAACAATCCACTCCATTACTCGAGATTCCGATTTTTACCGGCAAGTATTCTCAGTGGCCTACTTTCTACGATCTCTTTTACGAGGCTATTCACAATAACAAATTCTTAACAAACTCGCAAAAAATGCAGCACTTAAAGGGTAAGGTGAAGGGTGAATCTGAGCGACTGATCCAACACCTCCACATATCATCAGAAAATTATGAAACAGCATGGGAAATTTTAGTACATAGATACGACAACAAACAGCTTCTTTTTACTAATCAGATCGAGATGCTGCTCAATCAACCCAATGTACAAAGGCAGTCAGCCTTTGAGATAAAAAGACTTCATGACATGTCTGTGGAGTGCATCCACGCTATTCATAACTTGGGAGTGGATACCACAACTTGGGATCCATTACTCGTTCATCTGTTGTCCAAAAAGTTAGATTGCGAAACATTAAAGGATTATAAGGAGGCAAGAAAATCTCCTCGTGACTTGCCAGATCTTCGAGAGTTTATATCATTTTTAGACTCGAAGTTTACTGTACTTGAGCCTATACATAAGAAGGAGCGGGAGACTAGTATACCAATGCACCATCCAAGCATGTAACCAACTCAAGGCCTTTATCATATTCCTATAAAAACTTTAATCGTGATAAATATCAAGGCAAAACTTA